GATGTAGTTTTTGATAAAAATGTGATTTTCTCACCTTTTTGCTCAAAATGATGAATTTTTTATGAAACCTACCTATATTCAAGAATTTTTTATGAAACCTACCTATATTCAAGGAATGCTTTAAGCTAGAATAAAGCGGATTTTTTTGTTTAAATATAGAGGCTCTGATCTTTATTTTGGTGTATTGCATATTCAAATATTCATACAGCAAAATATACTGGAGGCCATCAAATTTTAGTGAAAATCATCAGCAAGCGTTTTGATTGGACGAACATTTCTTGGTCCTATGCCTTCCACAGAATATATAAATACAGATTTAGACCACTTAACTTGTGAAGATGGAAGAGACTTTCAACCAGCCTAACAAAAAATGTTTCTGAAGACAATCACCTATTGCGCCTTTAATAGTGAGAATTGGTCCCTAAAGTGTTACCCATTTTACTAGAGTGTTTTGGATGGTTACCAGGGCGCTGCTATGTGTTTTACTACACTGTAAAAAATGACCGTGAATTTAACGGTAAAAGACTGTAAAAATGCTACAGTAAAAACCTGTTAAATGGTTAACGGTAAATTCCCCTACTATATACGGTGAAAAACTGTATTGGACATTACTTGCTATGCATTTTACTAGAGTGTTTTGAGTGGTTACCAGGGAGAGTTGCTATGTGTTTTACTAGAGTGTTTTGAGTGGTTACCAGGGTGTTTCTATGCATTTTACAAGAGTGTGTTGGATGGTTACCAGGGAGTTGCTATGTGTTTTACTAGAGTGTTTTGAGTGGTTACCAGGGTGTTGCTATGCGTTTTACTAGGGTGTTTTGGGTGGTTAACAGGGCATTGCTATTTGTTTTAATAGGGTGCTTTAGGTTGTTACCAGGGTGTTGCTATGCGTTGTGTTTTAATTGGTTACCAGGGTGTTGCTATGTGTTTTACTAGAGTGTTTTGAGTGGTTACCAGGGATTTTCTATGCGTTTTACTAGAGTGTTTTGAGTGGTTATCAGGGAGTTGCTATGCATTTTACTAGAGTGTTTTGAGTGGTTACCAGGGAGAGTTGCTATGTGTTTTACTAGAGTGTTTTGAGTGGTTACCAGGGTGTTTCTATGCATTTTACAAGAGTGTGTTGGATGGTTACCAGGGAGTTGCTATGTGTTTTACTAGAGTGTTTTGAGTGGTTACCAGGGTGTTGCTATGCGTTTTACTAGGGTGTTTTGGGTGGTTACCAGGGTGTTGCTATGCGTTTTACTAGGGTGTTTTGGGTGGTTAACAGGGCATTGCTATTTGTTTTAATAGGGTGCTTTAGGTTGTTACCAGGGTGTTGCTATGCGTTTTACTAGGGTGTTTTGGGTGGTTACCAGGGTGTTTCTATGCATTTTATTAGGTGGCTTTGGGTGGTTACTAGTTGATTGTATTCTAGCCCAAACCAAAGAGTCCATCCAAGTTTTTATTATATTCTGGTCTATAAACAACGTTCAGGTCCCTCTTTCAACATATGTCTTTTTTTGCCGGTTTCATTTTTCTTATACAAAACAATAGTGCAAATTAACAATATTTAACTATCAGAAAGATTATATAAAGGCTGCATTACCAACAACAACAACCTAAACAATGACTAAATACCTATTTGGCTACTGGTCAACACTGACCAACAGCCTGTACTGCTAAAAAAGTATGCCGTTTCAGAAATTAAGCAAGTTTTGATGAAAGACTAACATTTATTTTCTTGCACTGATGAATCATCCACTATAAAATGGGTAATGTGCATTACGTAAAGTAAAAAGGGTCAGTTTTGATTTCATGTTGACACACTCAAAGCAGCGATGCATTACCACACACAGCTAATTAAAACACAAACATTCTGAAAGGTAAAAAAGAGAATGACTGTAACTTACATGCTGGTTTTCATCTTTGACCCTGCGTGACTGCAAAAGCAATAACAAGACAGGATTCAATTATGTTCTCACTCTCGCACAAAGTACGACAGACAGATGAAGCTATTTGTGAGGGAGTGCAATCAGCACTTGCTCATTTGCATTCCATAATAAACAATACACACAAGAACAACGTCTCCAGCTTCATTAGCAGCCACTGATTTGCGGACGCTTCGCTTCAGGGGCTCTGATTGTTCCTTCCTGTCGGAGACGTTTTAGCATTATATATTCCCCACTTCAGAGTGAAAAAGGCACCTCGGCTTTGATCAAATGGTGTGCGCAACCTGTATGGAACAGGCAGAGCATTTATGATAAATTATTAAGAGAGCTTGAGGTGAAACGCATCAGAGAAGTTAATTTCTTCAAATTTCATATGTGGGTTAAACGCAAATACATACTGAAGGCTTTATTTTTACAGTAAGGTCCAAAAGTCTGAGACCACTAGTGAAAATGCTTCCATATTGCATTTTTCCAAATGAATGCATTACATCTTCTGAAGACAAATTATACATTTGTGTGAGAAACAGACCATAATTTAATGTTATCGTTAATCTATTGTTAACCACTGCTACTGGATCATTCAGCGAGTCGGACTCGCGACTGAATCAAATCATTCAGATAAACTGATTCATTGAAAAGATCAAAAGAATGATTCGTTAATAAATCAGTTCAAAGTTAGTATGTTCATTACACAATATAAATTAATAATTGTGTTTGAATCGGGTGTGTTAGATGAGGGAGACAGTGCTGGGCTGCTCCAGGACAGTTTTGAAAACCATTTCAGAGACATGTTCTTAAATCTGACTCATAAATAACTAATACATGCATGCACAGTTTTGGTAACTTCATGACTTAACTGACGACATAATTATGACACTGCATGCTCGTATTTCTTTTGCGCTTTAATATGAAATGAAACAGGCTACAGCACGTGCCGCCACGTTTGTGCATGCAATTGAAGAGCACGTGCTACGAGCACAGTAAACCGGATGACAGGACAGGAAAATTAGTTTTTACTGACATATGGCCTAACAATATCTCATCTGACCGCTGTTCACTGTTGTTCTACTGAAGCTCCTCGTCACCTGTAACTTTTCCGCACTCATATTACATAAACATAATACATATTCTAAACATATTTATAAATAAATAATTTTTGTGAATATACATTTTTGGGTGAGCTATCCCATTAAGAATGATGATTCACATCCTGCAAGGCCACACTTACCCTTCCATGATTGACAGCAGCCTTCCCCTCCTCACTTCTCGCGTCCATTTCGTCATCACTCCATTCCCAGTCTCCATCCTCGGTCTTGTGCAGATGACCACTCGACCCCGGAACCCTTCTGACCTGCGGGTGTGAACGGGACACGCTGTCAGTCTCACCGTAGTGTGCACACAGCAGTGACTGCACACTTTTCCAGCAGATTTGGTTCTGAAAGTATTTTTCTCATTCGTTTTCTCCATAAGCATTTCAAAATATATATATATATAGTTTTGGAACCAAACCAACCAGCTCTGAGACGAAGCACATTACAACCTTTGATTCGAAGCAAAAATGGGATTGTAAAATAAGGAATGACCTACTCATCCCATAAGCATCAAATTAGCAATCAAATGCTATATCTATATATATATATATTTGAAATAATTCAAAATATTTAAATATACACAACATCGAATTAAGTTGAGAGTAGGGATTAAGCTATAATAATAATAATAATAATAATAATAATAATAAAGTTGTGCAATACATGAAAATATATATATTGAAAATAATAATGGTGCTTATGACAATTTTCAAAAGTAATGATACATTTGTTTTTTTTATATCATTTAAAAAAATCTGAAAAATATTTTTAATAATAATAATAAATATTTTGCATTAATATTATGTATATTTAAATATTTGTAATTAATGAACGATCAACTTTGAATATTATTTATATAATATAAATATATAAATAAATGTATATTTATAAATATAAATAATTTTAAATATACTAAATATTTATTATTATTATTATTATTATTATTTTACAGTATAATTCTGTTAACTGTGTGTGTGTGTGTGTGTGTGTGTATTTTTATTTATTTATATTATTTTAACAATAATATTATATTTCTATAAGCTGAAATCACACACTTGTTTCTACAGAAGCATATGACTGTTTACCAACTTCAGAGCTCAGGCTAGGTCCAACTTGGTATGTTTACAAATGATTGTTAAAAAACAATTTCTCTATGGAGGAAATGAATGGCATTTGTACTTTCAGAAGCCTACTGTTGTGCTACTGTACGCTTTGGTATCAGCAGGGGTCGAGTGTGTCAGATATAGTCTGTGCTGAACTTACAGGGCTTATTTCTCTGGGTCAGTGAAGTGAGCTTTAATTCATCTCTTTATTTCAACAAAAAGACCAGGTTTTTGGAGGCCTGCTCAGTGTCTGTAACAGCGCTAAAATATTCCACTATCTGCTCTTTTCAACAGGACACATCTTTCAAAGCCTGCTAAAGGTTTAATCTGGCCCACAAGATCTCAACATCTATTGAAGTACAGCAAATCAGGGGATCAGCTCAACTCCAGAAACCATGCAATTCTGCTCAAAAACATCCCTAAATTCCTGTCATTTAGACAAGCTTTTTCTCAGTCTGGCAATCTCTAATCTGATCGGCTGGCTTTACACAATTTCCCAGAATAAGGGCACATAGGTTTTACTATCTGTCCAACAGGAAATCAATTTATGTTTACAATGTACCAGCATGGCTTACAAAATGAACCCTGGTCACTTGCTAAAGTTTGTCAAGTTAGTGACATTTAAACTTGAAAGTACAGGAGACTATTAGAGTTATAGCTAGTTCCATTCATTTAATCCTGGCACAGAAGACCTTAAATCCTCTGGATGTCTGTGAAATATGAGGCACTAGACTGTTGAGATCAGACAGCGTCCAATCAATGACACTTTCTGAAGTTTGCTCTGTTCTGAGAGGCTATTGACAAAATCAGATTGGCCTGATCGAGAAACTCAGTCGACCTGCAACATATACTACATCCTCCCGCCCCGTCCTGACACACAGACACACTGTCTTCCAGCAGATTTACTCAGCTTCCAGTTCAAGACAAGAGGTGAAACACGGCACACAGACACACATACAGTACGTCTAGAGGCGAGAAGCACTAAGTAAGCGTTCTGCGAGTGAGATAACATGTACCCGTTTCCCAGCATCCTCTGTGTGCTGCTTCCTCTGCTCGGGATCCTTCAAAATAACACACAGACAAACAAAGCAACAAATAAACATCAGCGCATGATGACAAACTGCACCTGCGGGCTGTGTGCTTGTGAATAACACCAGTGGGTCAGCGGCACAGAGCGCTCAAACTCACACTCGCTGTCATTTAGGGACATTATGTAAGCTCAAATAGCCAGCGGTAAATTGCTCTCTTAGAAAATGTAATGTGCAATCGAGTGTTGTGATGCAGATGATGTTTACAATTACTGAATTTGGATATTTTTTGGTAGCTGAGAGTCAAATATGTCTAGGTGGCTGTGGAGATTGAAATAAAGAAAAAAAGGTCTCATTAAAAGTCTGTAATTGCTGAATTGTGATGCAGACATTCAGTTACCCAAAACAAATCATTGCAATGCTTAAAGCAAAAAGCAAAGCAAAAGAACGTCTTTATAAATCATTTTAAAGGGGTGGTTCATAGCGATTTCACTTTTTTAACGTTAGTTAGTGTGTAATGTTGCTGTTTGAGCATAAACAATATCTGCATAGTTACGAAGCTGAAAGTACAATGCAAACGGAGATATCGTCTTTTAAAATTCTGGCAGTTTAATGCCTACAAAAATGGCTGGTAGGGACTACAACGAGTTACTTCCCGGATTCGTGACATCACAAACCCAGATAAACCCCGCCCTCGGGAAAAGGCAGCAAAGGGGGCGAGGCCATGCTGCGCTGCTTTAGAGAAGAGGGAGAGAAAACTAGAGGTGCACGTAAAAATCTATTCATATATGAATCGCGATTCTGTCTTCTAACGATTCTAACGGATTTACAGGTTTCAAATTCAATGTTCAAAAGCAGCGGTTCTTAATACTGTTCCTCGCGTCCCCTGCTCTGCACACGCTCTGCATCTCTCTCTCTCTTTCAGCTCAGCTCCAACAATGAACTGTTCCAATTATACACGTATTTTCACATAGCTATGAGAAGCGTTAAACATGGACGCGCGTGCAGTTGCCTTACTGTATTAAAGCTTTAATCAGGATAAAACCATATATTAAAAGCTAACATAAGCAGTAGCATTTACAAATAACAGTAACTATATCAAAAAAGGCACAGAAGACCTTAAATCCACTGGATGTCTGTGAAATATGAGGTACTAGACTGTGGAGATCAGACAGCGTCCGATCAATGACACTTTCTGAAGTTTGCTCTCTTCTGAGAGGCTATTGACAAAATCAGATTGGCCTGATCGAGAAACTCAGTCGACCTGCAACATATACTACATCCTCCCGCCCCGTCCTGACACACAGACACACTGTCTTCCAGCAGATTTACTCAGCTTCCAGTTCAAGACAAGAGGTGAAACACGGCACACAGACACACATACAGTACGTCTAGAGGCGAGAAGCACTAAGTAAGCGTTCTGCGAGTGAGATAACATGTACCCGTTTCCCAGCATCCTCTGTGTGCTGCTTCCTCTGCTCGGGATCCTTCAAAATAACACACAGACAAACAAAGCAACAAATAAACATCAGCGCATGATGACAAACTGCACCTGCGGGCTGTGTGCTTGTGAATAACACCAGTGGGTCAGCGGCACAGAGCGCTCAAACTCACACTCGCTGTCATTTAGGGACATTATGTAAGCTCAAATAGCCAGCGGTAAATTGCTCTCTTAGAAAATGTAATGTGCAATCGAGTGTTGTGATGCAGATGATGTTTACAATTACTGAATTTGGATATTTTTTGGTAGCTGAGAGTCAAATATGTCTAGGTGGCTGTGGAGATTGAAATAAAGAAAAAAAGGTCTCATTAAAAGTCTGTAATTGCTGAATTGTGATGCAGACATTCAGTTACCCAAAACAAATCATTGCAATGCTTAAAGCAAAAAGCAAAGCAAAAGAACGTCTTTATAAATCATTTTAAAGGGGTGGTTCATAGCGATTTCACTTTTTTAACGTTAGTTAGTGTGTAATGTTGCTGTTTGAGCATAAACAATATCTGCAAAGTTACGAAGCTGAAAGTACAATGCAAACGGAGATATCGTCTTTTAAAATTCTGGCAGTTTAATGCCTACAAAAATGGCTGGTAGGGACTACAACGACTTACTTCCCGGATTCGTGACATCACAAACCCAGATAAACCCCGCCCTCGGGAAAAGGCAGCAAAGGGGGCGAGGCCATGCTGCGCTGCTTTAGAGAAGAGGGAGAGAAAACTAGAGGTGCACGTAAAAATCTATTCATATATGAATCGCGATTCTGTCTTCTAACGATTCTAACGGATTTACAGGTTTCAAATTCAATGTTCAAAAGCAGCGGTTCTTAATACTGTTCCTCGTGTCGCCCTGCTCTGCACACGCTCTGCTCTCTCTCATTCAGCTCAGCTCCGACAATGAACTGTTCCAATTATTTAGACGCGCACTAGAGGCAGTTTAGCCAATCATAACACACTGGGCTAGCTAACCAATCAGAGCCCCTCGCCTATTTCTGAGGGCGGGGCTTCATAAAAACAGGAAAAGATCAGCCCGTTTCTCAGAGAAGGGACAGAGCGGTGTGGAATAAAGGTGGAAAATAATGCGATTTTTTTTTTAAACGAAGCATTAACAGATGTTAGACTGCACCCCATAAACACAATCAAGCCTAGAAAAAAACCCAGTGAACCACTCCTTTAAGTATCCAAATTTATTCATAATGCACTGTGATTTGCATTTCACATCTCTATTTATTTCACCTTATATTTCTGCACTACTGTATACATACTTCAAATGCTTTGGCAATAGAGTAAATGTTCACAGTCACACCACTAAAGCTTTGTTTACTGAAATGAGAAGAGAGAAATAAAGACGGTTTTATAGCTAGATATTCTGATTTATATTTTTAATTCAGCAGCAGGTATAACTCAGCCATCAATAACAAGAGATTATTAAATTATCAGCTAAAAATAACTCAAAATAATGTGCTCCAGCATAAGAGTCAGCACATGCGTCCACTGCAGAGATGCTGCAAGAAACAAAGCAGCAAGCTGCTGCGCCCCCTACTGGACACAAACCACACCCACTCAACTTCAGCCGACAGACAAAAGGATTCTATAAAATCTAAGAGAATATCACAGGCATAAGTGAAGAAATAAGGTAAGACCTCACCGCTGTTCGAAATGACACAATATCAACCAGGAAGATCAATTTATACGAGATGGCAGAAATTACAGGATAAAATCTAGTATAAAATAATCAAGGTGTTCATGCATAGAATTCCTATTTATCTGTCTATCTATCTATCTATCAGGGTTTTTTTATTTTGCAGAGGTAATTTCAAAGTACATCAAACTGAATTAAAAATCATAGAGAATGAACTTAATTTCTTCTATGATGTACAACTGATATTTAAAAAAAATGTAACAATTAATTTATGATACATGGTATTTATCATATATATTTGTGGGTCAGAAAGTCAACTATATTTAGGAGGCCAAAATCTATTTTGTTGTCATGTAACAAGGAAATTATATCTCAGTCAAAGTAATTTTTTTAGTTTTTCAGGTCAAACGGAATTAAAAAAATTAAGT